TATTTAGGCCTCACTTGGAATACTGTGTATGATATATTCTTCTTCTGTTTGTTTTTTTAAAGGGCAAAAGGATACAAGTCAGTTAAAAAAAATCTATGAAATTGAGCCATTTAAGAAAATCCATGTATAACTCCACTTGGAAAACATAATCATACATGTAAATAACATTTATTATGCTAAAAACAGTTTTAATAATTTCAAAGTCAAGTGTTGGAATTTATAATGGGAAACACCGAGTATAAACACAAAAAATTAGAAATATATTTAATTAAATGCACTAGCATGAGTTACAAGTCTACTAAGAGAATACACACACTGAAACTAAGAGAAGGTCAACACTAGCAGCATGTATTTCACAACAGTCCCAATCCTCAATTACCTCATACTTATGTCAGGCCTTGTGATATTTAGTAATAAGTATGATGCTTGGTGTACAAGTTAATGAGGGTGGGGTTGAACTAGAAGAATTGAAAATTTTGGATACTCAATACACGTAATATAGTAAACATCAATAATTTTTTCAGTTATTTTACTTGCTTTATCATTTGCATAATACCAGCTTTATTAAGAGCATTAGCTATAGTGTACACTCAACAAATTAAGGTTTATTTTCATGTATGTGAGCAAAATTTTTTTTAAATCCAATAAACTCCAAACAAATAGATTGATTGATTTCTTTTTACAGTTGGCTTTTTTCCCAACCCTCTTACACGATGCTCTTATTTAAGTTTAGAACTAGAAGATTATCTGGGAAATTTATAGGATAAAGGTATCTGATTTCAATAGGGGGAAAGAACAAAAGTTTAAGATTTGGTGAAAACAGACTACGTTCCAGTTCAAACTGTTTTATTTTTCTAACAGGGTGATTGGTTTATGGAAAGGAGTGCCATCAGCAATAATAAAGATCGGCACTTCACAAAAGTTTAAGATAGTAATTGGCGATTTTCTATGAAATAGGGGTGGGTTTAAATTTTTACTTTTCTCTGAAGGGTAGGTGTACAAGAACAGCCTTGATCCGTTGAAGGATTAAGTGGTCCCTCAATGCCTATGTTATATATGGCATCCCCTTTTACTGTATTGGCAAATTATGTAGATAGTAATGTTAGATATTTTTTTACAAAATATACCTTTCAGTACAGAATGCTTATTTCTTTATCCCTTTAACTTTATACAAGGATGTTACAATTCAATTATTTGTCCATTTCTCTCTTCAAGATTGTCCTTGAACACCCACCCTTGATAATAAAGTTAAACCCACCCTTTATTTTGTATTTTCTCTCACCAGTTATTTGAAATTTCAACTTATCTCATTCAAACATCTCACATGTAATTATATTATATTATTATAAGAGGAAAATTGCCAACACCTTTAGAGAGTATATCATACATTGTAATAATGAAGGGCCTTAATAAAATTGTCGAATGGTAAATTTTAAATTTCATTAGACCGCGATGCGGGTACATTCACGGTCTGTTAGTCTTACACTACGGTCATACTAGGCCTAACGAAGTTAAGCAGAAACTGTATTAGTATTAGTCACTATTAGTAGTAGTATTACTCATTTTATGACCGGTAAAGCTTCAAAATATTTAAAAAATACTCAAGCAGTTTACCCTTATATCTATTGTACAGGTGTTCTAGTCGTTTCTTATCTACTGCAAGTTTTGGTTCTCGAAAATAAAGATCCGGATTTTGAAAATAATTATCGGAAGCGACATCCAGCTTCCAGTCATGTTGTGCAAGGCAATAAACTGCTGTTTTTTCGCCTGTCTGGGTGAAAGCGACGAACTGCTTCACTTTTTCCTTCTGCGACGACTTTAGTTTATGCTACAAAACAAAAAATAATGTAAATAAACGAAATTTAATTGTCGCAATTATCCATAAAATAGTTAATAAAGTCATAAACCGTACCATGTTACCACCATTCCAAGCCATCGGAAACACATTTCAGATGACATGCGCAAATTCTCCCTTTCATTGTCCAACAGCTGATCAAACCTAAAAAAAAAAAGTTAATTTTTAGTATATATATATATATATATATATCCATGTATAGAATACATGACATTAAATCAACATGTCACTACTATCTCAATAAGAAAATAAAACCGAACTGATGAAAATATAAAAAACAAACGATGTAAGGCAATATTGATCCAGTTAATTATATTGACATTTTTGCCACAGTCGAATTTTTGTCTCATTATCAGACACTAGAACTGTTTTGTATAGATTATAAATATTACTTTAAGTATCAAAGATATTGAACTTCAATAAATTTCATATTGTTATGACAGCGGAAGTCACGTAACGCTGATAACACGTGATGAGTTTCTAGAAGGATCGGGGAACAAATAATCCAGTATTTGCTAGACGCCCTCTATTCCTGTATATAAGCGCGCCAG